TTGAAAATTTCGGTCCATTTTGTGTCAGGTACTTACCAGGTACTGTCAATACCGCACAGTACCTGATCAATACTGCACAGTATCTGCTGAATACTATGCAGTATCAGGTACTATACAGTACAGTACCTGCTCTAGGTACTATACAGTACAGTACCTGCTCTAGGTACAATACAGTATAGTACCTAAGTATCGAAGCATGATACCAGTACAGTACAGTATCTTGATGTGCCAAATAATACTGTACTCTACGCTGGTTTTCACAGTACCTAAATTGTAGGTACTGTACTCAGTATAGTATCTCCGCACAGATACTGTACTGAGTACCTTGATTTCAAGTATTTTAAATATAGGTACTGTACCAGTATCTTCGATACTATACTGGTACAGTACCTGCTGCCACCAGCGTCAACTCTCCCTTAGGGTTATAAGACAGATGTATGGCCATTCCCATGGGCTTGACTGAGACACGCTTCTCAAGCCATCCCCTGCCACTCGCGTCCATCGGGAGTATCCCCTACATAACGCTCAAAGTTAGGCACCTACACATGATAAGTCCCTAACTTTACTATGCATACATATGTAATATACCATATACATGTAATACCCTTCTAACTCCAGTCGCGTTCTCAGACCTCACCACATCGATTACACTCAATCACCTCATCCCAGATATCCAATCAACACCGATATACCAATATCGACTCCTTTTGAATAGAGACATCAACTTTAGCTTTACAAGCCCTTGCTCCGCTGGTCCCACAATACTCACTTGCTGCGTTGTTACTCTGATAGGACTTAAATTGTACGTCTTTCACCCCTTCTTTGTTTTGTATCTTTTCTACTTCAGTCCACTTATCTTCGATATAACACATCCTGATCATTTACCTCATTTTTCCATCAACCACATCATCATCATTCCTACCCCAACATGTTCAAGATGTTTACGATTGCCGCTTTGGAGCGTGCTGCTGCACTATTCCCTTTGCAATCCAATCCTAGCTCGAACCCAACCTTAACCCAACCCGATCTCGCAACTCAAGCGAGTCAAGAGCTCACGGACAACACCACTCTCTTATCATCCAACCGAAATGACCATCGTTCTCATATGAGTAACTTTATAAATGACGGCATTGTCACCTCGACAGCTTCAGACATCAACACCTCAAACATCAATACCCTTACTCCAGACACACCCATTTCTAAAGATCACATGTTGACTATGTCCTCGAGCGAATTGCGATGCCTTGCCAAGAAGAATGCGAGTCGTGGTATCAACAAGGACCAAATGGAGAAATTAATCACATTTCATGAAACTCAACAACACGCGCTCGCCATGATGGCAGTGGAGATTGGAGTATCCGTTTCTGCCATTGAAGCGACTTGGTAAGTGTATTTCATTCCTCATTTCTGTCTATGTACAATTGGTCTCATAATCAGTCTATTGTAGGGGTAAACGTATCGCAGTGCGGATGGCAACAGCATGGAACCGATATCTACAAACACCCAATGCCAAGGCTTTGTTTAAAATGTGTAAGTACCCCCTTGAGTTGCAACCCTGGATCGACAATATCAATCTTTTGCTGCTTTTGTAGATGGAGGCCTCGCCAACGGTATCGCGATGGGTCAGCTTTCCGACATGTGGAAAGCCATGTCTTTGGAAGAGAGGGCGGCTTTCAAAGCCCCAATACCAGATGTCGAGCTTGACTTCGGTGAGAAGGTTATCAGCAACAAGCGAGCTCGCCAGATCGTTCAACCTCGCACAATGGTCAAGAGCAACCCCACATCCTTACAAAAATCAGAACAACGGGTCCAATCATATTTGACTGATCTCATTGCCCAGGTAACGTACCTCAGTCTGATTCATTAGTGCTCTTTCTCTATCTTTGACATACAATGATACAACATCCAGGCAACTCCCATCGCAGCGTCATGCAACTGCGAGTTCGTTTTCTTTGCTGTCTCAAAACATCTGGCTGCTCATAGCTTTCAAATTCGGGTTGTCACACCCGGAGCGCAGCATGGTGTTGAACTCATCACCGAAACAGCCGGAACCCAAGAGTTTGGCGCTCAACTCCAAGGATACGTCACTGGTAATACTACCGAAGCAATCGAAGCAAAGAGACACTGTGGTGAGTTTAATCCTGCTACTTTATGACAACTCATATATTGTGTCATGTTGACACGTCTTGCAATGTAGGAGGCAACTCTAAAGCCGTCAGGAAAGAGGTATCTGCCAGGCTTGGTCGCCTTGTATGTAAGTCGAGTCCAAATACAAACCTGATCAGTTTTCACACACTAAGAAAGTATTGGTCTTTCTTTTCATCATCGATTCAACCTTCCAGCCGAACAGACCAGCACAGCGCTAAGTAATTGGCCATGGACAGATGCCGACTCCGTCCTTGCAACTTTTGGTCTTCGGGTTGTTATAACCAGACCAGAGAGCCAACTGGACATCAACTGTCTTAAAAGACCATGTGCTCGGCTCAGTGGACCAGAAAGCCAACTAATCAACTATGAACTCGATCATGGTGGCATCGAGTTTCTACAAATCCAATCCGATTCCGTAGAAGAAGCAAGCATTGAGCAAACTCAATGAAAGTCGAACATACACTGAATGCCAAATATACAAGTGCAGATTTTTTTACCAATTCTTTATCCCATTTCTTCATTTCATTAATCGGCTATCCAAAGCCTCTTGTACATACATGAATACAAGTTGTGAAAGTCAACCCTCGCCAAAGATAGCTAAGGATAGGATAAGTTATCTATACATCAGCAAGACTTGAAATGAAAGTTGAAATGGTACTTGAAACAAATTTTGCCATGGATTACCTCAAACTCCAAACAATTTCCAAAAAAAACAAGTGAGAGAACACAGAACTACCATGTTGAAGAATTACCTCTCACTTCAATCTACGTCATGTGGGTTTTTTTGTATGTATTTCCCCAAAGAAATCATACATAACTTTTGGTGAATAGCTTTACGATTTTCTTCTTAGGACTAACAGTGGCCGAGTACACATGATTGAGCTCGAGACTACTTTTCTCACTATTGTAAATCCCATTCACGGGGGTGCTCTTCACTGTATCTAGAGGAAATCAAATCGCAATATGATTCACTGTGTTGTATTCAATTTCACTGTATCTAGAGCTATCCATGTTTACAAGCGTAGTGTTTATTTTACAAGCGTAGTGTTTATCAGAGCTGAGAGAGTCGCACCGTTTTAACACCTTGCATAGGGTATTTGGGCTTTTTGCATGTGACCGCTGTTGGAATTGGGCTGATCCGAAGAATGTTAGCAAGATGCCTCCAGTGCTAAGTGAACAACATAACTTACTAGCGAGATCTCCATGTGAACCCGAGATTTGACAACCCATCATCCATCATCTATTGATTTTGACTAGGTTGTGTACGTTTTCGGTCAGGGCACGATGATACCCAATGATGTGGATCTCCACAGCCAAAGCACCTGAAGCGAGGGGTGGTTTGTTGAGCTGAAGAAGGTCCAGGAGAGTTTGATTGAGCTGAAGGACTTGAGCGAGAATCAAGTGATGCTTGGTTGCTGGGAAGTGTCAAGACCGGGAGTTTGGTTGATTGTGTATTCAAACGATCTTCATGAGAGGAAGACGGAGCATCAAGATGCAGATGCAGAAGATCAATAGGTATATCAGATGAGAGACGGTCACGGTGCTTGGTTCGAATGAGTTCTTTGACTTCGTTTGCACAAATTGAGGATGTTGGTCGATCATGAAGACGGGTTTTCAAAGCAGTGCTGACCTCAAAGATGAACGAAGTCCCAAGACCTGATTGGTATGCCAAACCCAAGAGGCTATCTCTTGTCCAAGAGAAGCCTTGTTGATCTAGCTCATCAAACTTAGCCTCAACCTTGGGTAGGTACTCATCAACACCGAGTCCCTCAATATACTTGGTTTTGAAAAGATCCTTCCATAACATGAGAGTTGGATTGATGAAGAGCGATTGGATTCTCGTCATGATTGCTTTAGCTGAGTCGGATGAGACGAGTTGTCTTGCGACTTCCGTTTTGACAGAGTGTTCGAGCATGTTTCGAATGATTGTATCACCAAGGGGGTCCGAAATGTGAGCATCATCTCCATCAAAGTACCCAACAAGTCCGGTGGTGGTCTCGATCAATCGGACTATGCGAAATTCCCAATCGGCGTAGTTGGAACCGTTCTGCTTGAGACAATCACATGCTGATTGAACCATACCAGGCATCAAAGTGATGAATTCCATAGATTTCCAATTCACAATCATAGGTGTCCGGTGGACTTGTGACATAGCGGACTTCAAAGTTGGATTTGTCAGGGTTCAATTGGAGGAGATAAACTGCAATTGAGAGAGGTGATGACTCACAAAATCAGGATAACGCTTGAGGAAAGAAGATGAACACTTGTATATAGTGAAGTTATGAAGGAAATGAAAGTTGGTTTGTAATGACGTTAAGGCACCAATAAGTGAAGAATCTGACACAGGATGAAGAGTAGGTGAAGGGTTCACATGTGTGTATATCATGTGATAGGTTGGGGTATCTTTGGCGAACTTGTAAAAAACTCATGGAGAAAATGAAGAATGAAATTGCTGGTGCATCAAAGATGCTACAACCAAGATATTTCCATGGTATCAACTGTAGTCAATTGTATCTTTGTTTGGGTCTGAGCCATTTTCATGTTTGAGACAGTGTGCCACACCATATTTGGTCACAGTTACACCAAAGTTAAGGGTTTTGGAAGCAGAAAGATGAGGCCATTTGAGCATGAAAGTGTCAAATGGTGAGCAAGTGAGTGGTGATATGGCCAAAGTGTCTTATTGAACTCACCTTGAAATTAAATTTTGCCCACAACGGCCGGGCCAGAAGGCCAAATCCCATCATCTTCATGGTGTTTGTAGATGTTTTCAGGTTGAGCGGTAGGGTAGAAGTGATTTCGAGAGTCACAAATTGCAAATAACATGTTGAAGGTGTGGTGATATGGCCAAAGTGTGTTATTAAACTTGTGTTGAAATTAAATTTTGCCTATGGCGGCCGGGCCAGAAGGCCAAATTCCATCATCTTCATGGTGTTTGTAGATGTTTTCAGGTTGAGCGGTAGGATGGAAGTGATTTCAAGAGTCACAAAATGCAAATAACATGTTGAAGGATTGGTGATATGGCCAAAGTGTTTTATTAAACTCACCTTGAAATTAAATTTTGCCTGTAACGGCCGGGCCAGAAGGGCAAAATCCATCATCTTCATGGTGTTTGGAGATGTTTTCAGGTTGAGCGGTAGGATAGAAGTGATTTTGAGAGTCACAAAATGCAAATAACATGTTGAAGGATTGGTGATATGGCCAAAGTGTTTTATTAAACTCACCTTGAAATTAAATTTTGCCTTCAAAGGCCGGGCCAAAAGGGCAATTTCCTTCATCTTCATAGTTTTTGGAGTAAATTTATGATCAAAATCACATGAATCCAGTTTGAGCAAACTTTTGTGTAACGTGATTCACATGTATCTTCAGACTCTCATCG